ATCTCTTTAATGTTTAAAATCAAACTCATGTTTTAGGGGTAATGTATATCTTCAACGTTGCTCTTAAAGCATTTTATGTTTTTATATGATTTACATCGTCTCCGAACGGAAACGAAATAAAACGATTTTAGCAGAACCATTTTAGTCCGAAACCAGACGATGACTGGTGTGAACATCATCCTCGTATATACCCCATTTCTCCGGAAGACATGAATTTCGGGTATTGGTGTAGGTAACGTACACATATACAAAGGGAGAGTACACAATGTTTGCCTTGGAAGTCCGGACAAATATACTGCACTGTTCAGATCAACATGGTTGATTATATATATACAAGGGCCGTGACACCATACTTTTAGTTAATCTACAATATTATTTAATCCGGACAATTTAACAAGGAATGGTGCCGTCAGGATTAAAAAGATTTCACTGTTGGTTTCAGGGCTCGGGAGGACATTGAACGAGCAATGACGTAGTGCCAAGCGTAATTTCAAAACCCAATTATTCCGCAGAACATGGAATTACGACCAGGATGTTGAACTCATTTTCCAGCGTCCCTGCCAACTCCCCCGCTAAACCGAGTCTTAAGAGCTATGCTTGTAATCATGAAAACATCACGAACATCCCCTCGGCGCCACTCGATGCATAAAGAATGCATTATATAGGAGAATGTGTTTCATTTGTACAATCCGCCATTTCCTACAGAGAGTGTGACAAAAGGTGCACCTCCCGAGTGTGCCGCCATCACTGTGCCTTTATGAAAAAGTAACAAGTGTAGATGTTTTCCCGTGGTAATGAGGATGTATTGCGCGTAGGCCAGAGGTCTGTGATCTGTGCTAGGGGGTATTTGCACGTCGTGGGGCCATTGAGATAAGTGTGAATTCTACGCAGGTTTTTGTTTGATATGAGACCGGTTTTTTTCGTGAAGATTAGAACATCAAAGGTGGTCTATTTGTTGCAGATAACATGTTCTATAACCTGGTGCTGATCTATCAGAACAGGAACCTCTTCGACATGCGCCAATTTTAACGACAAGACACCGTAGCAGCATTGTTATAAAACAAAACAGTTTACATTGTAGCATTGTGAGATAACAAAACATTTTACAGTGTACCAACATTGTGATATAACAAAACAGTTTACACTGTAGAATTGTGATAACAAAACATTTTACACTGTACCAGCATTGTGATATAACAAAAACTTAACATTGTAGCATTATGAGATAACAAAACATTTTACAGTGTACCAGCACTGTGATATAACAAAATAGTTAACATTGCAGCATTGTGATATAACAAAAACTTAACATTGTAGCATTGTGAGATAACAAAACATTTTACAGTGTACCAGCACTGTGATAAAACAAAATAGTTAACATTGCAGCATTGTGATATAACAAAGTATTGTACACTGTACCAGCATTGTGATATAACAAAACATTTTACAGTGTACTAGCATTTGGATAAAACAAAACAGTTTGCACTGTAGCGTTGTGATATAACAAAACATTTTAGCGTATACCAGCATTGTGATATAACAAAACAGTTAACATTGCAGCATTGTGATATAACAAAACATTGTACACTGTACTAGCATTGTGATATAACAAAACATTTTACAGTGTACTAGCATTTGGATAAAACAAAACAGTTTGCACTGTAGCGTTGTGAGATAACAAAACATTTTACACTGTAGCATTGTGATATAACAAAACATTTTACAGTGTACTAGCATTGGGATAAAACAAAACAGTTTGCACTGTAGCGTTGTGAGATAACAAAACATTTTACACTGTAGCTTTGTGATATAACAAAACATTTTACAGTGTATCATCATTGTGATTAAACAAGTGTCAACACTATAAACTTTGATTGCAGAGTTGCGCCCGTTGTCTACTATTCCTGATCTTTCCATACTTGTGCTCGTGGGTATTTCCAAACCAATATAAGGCCTGCATCACTTCCGGGGTTCATCCTACACGCCGTCATATAACTGAAATACTGTTAAATATGACGTTACACCCGACTCACTGTTGCTGATGGAGGAAAAGGTGTCTTATCCCCAGGCATTAAATTCCGCCTTTTCCCTTTTCATAAATGGCCTATCAACTTGTGCTTTATTTGCGGACTGCATCTCACCGAGGAGGCTCTTCTTGGTTTGTGGGGAGAAAGATCTGGCATGCAGAGTGCCTGGTTGCAAGGACGTGTGTTTCATATCAATAGCCTCATGCCCTCAATCTACTCAATAAATTGTAAAAATCAATATCCCTCATTTTTTCATCCCGATCAAATTAGTTTTGGAGACTCCTTTAGAGCGTAAGATCCCGTTTGCCTAACATGATTTAGATATTTACATAATAATCTTGTAAAATATCTGACTTCGCCACGTGCTTGCCATAAAGAAGTATACGCAGGTTTGTTTTCATTGAAGGGTGTTAGTTTACCTTTCCTTGAAATAATAACAGCATATCTCAGTGTTTACATAATGAATGATATTGTCATCTCAAATTATGTTTAATCTGCCTTAGACATGTAGTTAATGCAACAGTGTAAGGTAATAGCGTCAGCAGTGGCATCGGCAATGGCAGACGTTGCAATGTTTGTCGTCGTTGGAACACAAAGGAAGTTCACGAGTACTTCAAGCATGCAACCCCATGTTAAACAGATTATATCATCCTCGCTTAGTCAGTGTATTATCTCTTTTAGGATAAATACCCTGGATCCTGTCTCTACTACAGGGGGTTTGGAAAGTGACGCCATCATCTTAACCTCTCCGCTCAGTATCTCCCCACATATATTGTATCGAGTGGTTTTTGTAAACCCACACATCTCACCTCATTGTAAACGTTTGTCAATGGGGTAATCAGGAAGCAGACATTTAATCGATATATGGAGATTAAAAGAAGTTCGTTTGTTGGTGTCTTTAACGATATTATAACCAAAATATAACTGTGCTGGCGCTTAATCAGCTCTTAAGAACACGTCTACATAGTTGCATTTTGTAAAATATAATTTGATTTAAAACTTTGAAATATGATTTTTTTTTGAGTGCACAATACACTGAGACACCTTGCCTTTGAAAATCAATAGAGTCGACTTTTCAAACATTTCAAACATTGTAGGGGGCATGATGTTTTAAATTCATTTCTTTCCCCAGACTCCATCTACCAATATACTTTAACACAAAATTACCCAGCCAGGGATCACTTTTTTACAAACAGTTGCAGGAATGAGTGATGGTTATATTTTCAATCATGTGAAAAACACACTCGGTATACTTTCTTTTGACCATCAGTTTAGATTCGCGAGACTAGGATTACAAAAAGCCAACGACATGTTGCGAATAATCTGATTACCAGTGAATGTGTGGTGCAAGTATCGAACCTTTGACGATGGACTTTCACCACGCACTCACGAGGAACAGATAATACATCTTTCAGAAAATCGAATGAAACGGGTTAAATGATAACAAATATAAACATTGATGTCAACCTATTGATTTGATGACTTAAAATTGTATGATCGTGTCTCTTTATATTAGTTCAGCTTACAAATCGCTTTGAGAATCGCTAAGATGTACCTTTGTATGTATGGAAGGTTATTTCACGCGGTCGCGTTTGCAGTATGGTTAATATGTTGAGATATGCACGTAGCTCCGGTTCACAATGTCAATTAAGAATTGACATTCACTTTGTGTAAGTTCATTGGAGTATGAACCTTCATAGAGTGAGGGCCAAACTGTATGAACGTCGGAGCTTGGTTAATATGTTGAGATTTTGCACGTAGCTCTGGTTCACAATGTCAATTAAGAACTGACATTCACTTTGTGTGAGTTCATTGGTGTATGAACCTTTATAAAGTGAGGGTCAAACTGTATGAACGTCGGAGCTTGCGTTCACAATGTCAATTCTTAGAAATTTTTGTATCACTATTTTGTACCTCAAAGGATCTAGACCTTTCCGCATTATTTAGAACTTATGACTTCATGTTTACACTGACAGCCATACAACAACCAGCTGTATCGCGGAATAAAATAGTTCCTCAAAACGAGAGGTGACATGAACATATGTATGCTCCACATGCTCTACAGGAACAACTTTTGTAGTTTCTTTATGACATATGTATTCAAAATATATCCTCATAAGAAATGTCGGATAAGAACTACCTCAGTAAGTCAGTCACAATGACAGCGTGTCGCAAATATATTTACATCAAGTACTACAAGACGTCAAAATGGCCGACACGATAAACGTGTCGGGAGAGATTTTGGAAGTTGTTCATGAACCTGTGGCGGTTACATGTTTTAGTCATCATTGATCAACTGGTCGATCATTGAAAGGTGATTAAAGATGTGTTAATTTGACATGACGTAAATTCATAGATTGCTGTAGACTGTCACTGTCAGCCAAGACATGGATCGAGTCGATACTTCGATAGTGTGGATGTGCATTTCTTCGTTTTGTTCACTAAGGTTCGGTCGTAGCGAGGATATTCGTAAACGATCATGCAGTCGAACTCTCTGACGTTGCTCAATGTATACTGAAACGCTGAGTTTAAGATAAAAGGGTCGTGCTGGGGAATCCCATGGTGTTCCCAAGGAATATAGAAGTAGTCCGTCAGTGTTTACGTCATTACAAGAACACGGTCACGTGAAAAACGTATGAACGTCAAATTGTGTCGTTCATACACTTACGAACGTCAATTTCGCGGTAATGTGACTGATCTCTCGTCCAAAAGCCGTATATCGTGTAAACTTCAAATTAAAAAAATATATACCTTTGAAAAGCAATACAGATCGCGTTTGGTGAATCTCGTTCCATAGAACAGTATAATGTCACACTTTCACCCTGAACTTTCACCGACACCAACGTCGATACTTCCACCGACACCAACGTCATCACTTCCACTGACACCAACGTCACCACTTCCACCGACACCAACGTCATCACTTCCACCGACACCAACGTCATCACTTCCACCGACACTAACGTCACCACTTCAACCGACACCAACGTCATCACTTCCACCGACACCAACGTCACCACTTCCTTCAACACCAACGTCATCACTTCCACCGACACCAACGTTACCCCTTCCTTCAACACCAACGTCACCACTTCCACCGACACCAACGTCACCACTTCCACCGACACCAACGTCACCACTTCCACCGACACCAACGTTACCACTTCCTTCAACACCAACGTCACCACTTCCACCGACACCAACGTCATCACTTACACCGACACCAACGTTACCACTTCCTTCAACACCAACGTCATCACTTCCACCCTGAACTTCCACCGACACCAACGTCACTACTTCCACCGACATCAACGTCATCACTTCCACCGACACCAACGTTACCACTTCCTTCAACACCATCGTCACCACTTCCACCGACACCAACGTCATCACTTATACCCTTTCCACCACTACTTCAGCCTTTCAACCACTATCACCAATTCCATAATCTCTCTCTCTCTCTCTCTCTCTCTCTCTCTCTCTCTCTCTCTCTCTCTCGCTCTCTCTCTCTTTCTCTCTGTGTGTAGTTTTATACGGGGAGATTGTACTTAAAATATCCCTTTTATCCACGTTCAGATACCTGATACGTTAAGAAACTGTTTCTAAAGACCTACTATCCGACAACATCTTCTAGTGGGCGGCAAGTAAAGAAACCAGACCAGCATTTTAACATACCAGTCTGCATAATGTCAATCAATATCATTCTGTACTTCTGAACTTCAATACGGTTTTGCCAAGTAAGCCAATTCATAAACCATACGTCAATGACCAAGATTACTGTCAAGGTTCTGCCAGAACTTTACCTTCATCAAAGGTGTGGTGATTGTGTCAAACAGTGGGCGACCTGTGGTAATTATGCCCATCTTACCATGGCATGATCACCGCTAACTGAGCTAAAGGGATACCGTAATGAAGACACTGATGTGGTGGTGTTATTTTCTTTAAACATCATGGTGGCCGCTGGGTGGGGCGCTGCTTGAACCCCTGTCCCAAGATTGCGCGGGGAATGGTAGATGGGAACTATTCCTGACTAGCCTACAGGTAATAGGGCAGGTGTTTAGAAACATTACAAATGCGTTCTCTCAAACGGATGTGGTCTTGATATCGTAAGATACACCGTGGACGTGTTTTGTTCGGCTATTTTTATACATGGTATGGATCTGTCTAACTTAGATAGATGATGTGTGGGCTATTTGTGATGGTGCTTCTCGATGATAAATGATTTAAGAGTATTCGTGACAAATCACGAACATTCTTTCTGATACCAATGTAACAAAGGTTCTTCTAACTCGGTTGCCATGTCGTATGTCGTTATATTTTATGACGTTATGACAGAGTATATTAAGACGCCTGTAACGTACTAAGAGTATTTTTTTTCAAAAATCCATTTTGATGCAATTTGAGGTTTGAAGACTATGAGAACCTTTACAGTTCTATCTCGAACCGCGTAATGGTACAATGATGAAAACAAACATTCCTGTCATCACAGGTGGGTAAGGTCATATACTATTTGTACGAGAGGATACAAATCTAGATTCCAGACCATGAAGCCTAGATACCAGACCATGAAGCCTAGATACCAGACCATGAAACCCAGACCATGAAGCCTAGACCATAAAGCCTAGATACCAGACCGAGAAGCCAAGATACCAGACTATGAGTCCCGAGACCTTTGAGCCGAGATACCAGACCATGAAGCCTAGATACCAGACAATGAAACCTAGATACCAGACCATGAAGCCTATACACCAGACCATGAAGCCTAGATACCAGACTATGAAGCCTAGATACCAGACAATGAAGCCTATACACCAGACCATGAAGCCTAGATACCAGACTATGAAGCCTAGATACCAGACAATGAAGCCTACATAATAAACTATGAAGCCTAGACACCAGACCTTGGAACCTAGATACCACACCATTGAACCTAGATACCAGACGATGAAGCTTAGATACCAGACCTTGGAGCATCGATACCACACCATGGAGCCTAGATACCACACCATGGAGCCTAGATACCACACCATGGAGCCTAGATACCACACCATGGAGCCTAGATACCACACGAATGAACCTGGGGCTTAAACATTTAGAAAAGAGCAGAAATAAACTTCGAAAGGGCTATTTGCTAGTACAGCAATGACAATGATAATCATACCCATGCCAATACGAAATCGACAACTTAATACTGTGTTTTGTTACTATTCGTACAACTAATGTACAACGCTTGTTAAACACTGACTTAATGCCAGTACAGTGAAAACAGGCTGCACATCCAAATGTTTCAAAGCCAATCACCTTCTCCCAGTCAGACTAAACAAACACCATTGTTAGAATGAACTTTTTCTTTGATGGTTGTGCCATCACTTCCCCCATCCATCAAGCTACTAAATCTCTACCGGTCGTGTCTAGTCGCGTGTTATCACTTCCCAAACTGCTCCTCGCTATTGAATGGAAAAAGGCCTACAGTCGCCTACATGCTAAAACAACGACGCTCTTTTCGCAACAGCCCCAGGTAATAAAATGTCAAACAGTCCTACAACGGGAACAGAGACAACACAATGATAGCTTTGATCTTTTTCTTCTCTGGAGGACATATGGAAAACCATTCTAGCAGAGGCATCGTAATGGTTTACTGGTTGTACGTGCTTCCACTTTAACGTCATACGTTTACCGTTAACCCTTAGTTGAATGTAACATTTGCTATTCCATCCAGTCGAATCTCGTCAATTGCGTGTGTATCATTTATGACGATGTAACTTTATTACCAAGGATAAATTCTTATCTGTGCAAGGTGAACGGTTAATGTACAGTACAAAGCCTGTAAACGCGTATCCTCAAACATAATTTATCGTATAAGACTGTGTATAAGTTTATGATACCGAGATATCGTTATATCGGCGCTCAGCTTGTCTGGAACAACAGACAACTCGATGTATATTCTGGTTCCCAGGACTTCGAACTAAAGGTTTCCACTTGTCTCATTATGGTAGTGGCGCGGTAGGCCAAGTCGCCTAAGGCGCCGCGATTCGCTCTGCAGAGCTACTTCCCTTGGGCACGCCAGAAACCTTTGATTGTGGGTTCGAATTCCGGTTTGCCCCGATTATGATTTTCGGTTTGTCAGCACCATGCCCGTGCCCATGTTTTTTACCAAAGTGGTAAACGTCCCAGACCTGCATGACTTCAAAATCGAGCTATAAAATCACTGACATTGACAATTAAGTTGTGAACATGTTACAGGTTAACATGAAACTTAGAATGAATAAATATAATGTGAAATATCATATTGAACCATTGATTACGTAGAGACACACGGTAATGATGTAGTTTTATACAAGTCGTTACTTTACGTCTTGCCACCCACACGGGTCGCTGTGAACGATACACTTCCACATATCTATCAAAGTCTCAAACTGGCAAGCTCACACTAGTTAAAAATGCCTTAAGCATTAGCATTTCATATATCCAAGTACTTATGACCATGCGTATGTAAAAATCAGTTCCTCGTTGAAAGATGTTAAATCTGCTTGTTACACAAGGGCAAATAGTTCATTACGGCTCGCTCGAATCTATGGCTCTTTCGATTCATGATTAGGAAGAAAAGGGAACTTTAAGAACCCCACATGCCATCAAATGTTTGTTATGGTAAGAAGGTTGGTAGGCTACCAAACATAAACTACATCGGAAGCAATGGCATCCTTCTTAGCTACATCAGCCAAGTTGTCACACGGGAGGAACATTTATTTGCTGATTGTGTTACCCTGGGTCTAGATTATGTCGCATTACAGACATTAATGGCTTTTGGCCGTTCCCACATTCTCACTAATCTCGGAGTGTAGACGTTTGATCCGTTGTCCAAGAAAATAACTTCCTTTCTGGGGTCATCGACGAATTTTTCATGTGAAATCGATGGAAATCAGTCTCACAAACCATGTCATTCTCCAAGCTGTCCTTCGTTTCATATATATATATATATATACCAGACTATGAAGCCTATATACATATATGTAAAAGGTTAAGCGTGATGTCCCTCCAAATGGTAGGAGGTCCTGGGTCACATCATATTATATAAGGAAAGAGATAAGGCAATTGAAAGGTAGTCAAATGACTGTTGGCGTAGAGGAGACACATGGCATTAGATAATCGATGTTAGTTTCTGTTTTTGAATATGACTTTGTCACTTTTTAAGGAAAACATTCGTTTTGTCATAAAATTGAAATAAACTGTCTTGTTTGATGGTGGCTAAAAACATATACGAAATGGTCATTCGATAGTGATGTATTTGATACAGATATCCCAGTTGTGTTTTGGACCTAAATTTCCAATGTTTCGGCGACTGTCTTCAGCATTGTGGTAATTTTGGAATTGTTTGGTCAAATCCAATTTTCAAATATATACTTTCTTTTGCCCGGCATAATTAGTTAGGATATGTTTGAGGACAATGACTTGTATATATGGAACTGTATATTGAAAGATTCCGTGTTGAATGTGGGGTTACTAAAATTGATTGTAGACATGTAAAGTTGTTTTTTTTCCAATGTAGACAAGAGTTTTTTTCTGTATTGGAATCGTTGTAGCTCCGTATACCTCTGGATATGATATAACGAAAGTGTATTTTACTGATATTTATGCAAGTTATTGTCACCAAACTGTTTATTAAATTCGTGTTAGATATAGAGATGTAAGTTGCATTAAATATTCATTTAGACATTAGGCACATTCTGGTTCAAATAGTGATGTAGGCAAAGCATCCAGAGCTATATGCACAGCTGTATTTGCCGAAAGCAAATTGGTAAAAGGAGAATTCGGTTTGTAAAGGACTATAACGTAAAAGGAATTCGTTTTGTACAAGTTCATTAATCGACAGCAAATAGGGTATCATATTTCATGGCTTTTGGTAAACCGTTAAAACAGCCTAAAACTTTTGGCGATGATATTTTTGGACAGTGTGTGTGATTGAGCGAGAAATGCATGTATTGTCAGTTTGTTCTAAGTGTTTGGGTTTTTTCTTTTAGTTTCACATGAAATGAGTTGTATACATGGAGACTATTTATGAAAAATGGCAGGTATATTTTTAAAGACGTCTTGATTTCCAGCAATGACAAGATATTTCGCCACCATAATAAAAGGGAGACGTACGTTACAGTGAGTACTGAAATTATGATGAATACATGGCTTCTTGAATGCTTCACAAACCTTGGCATATATCTCTACAGCCATGCATATGCATGTTTTGTTTCAAGAGCATCTCTCTCAAATCTTTCAAATCAGTGACTTTTTCGCATACATCAGACTTGTGAGGCACTTTCCACCAATTGAGACGTGAGTGAGTGGATATTGTTTTTACATCGCTTTTAGCAATATTCCAGCAATATCACGGCGGGGCA